ACAGTCCATTTCAGCAATGTTTTTCTGCTCTTCAGGAAGTGGCCAATGAGTGCCATTTCATTAAAGCCTGAAACTTTTGGCATACCAGGATGATATCTGTCAGTAGAGGAAGGGGCTGACAATGCAGAAATTTGGGGAGGGCATGGATGAAGGTCCACATTGGTGTATGCCCAGATGCATGCAGGCACCTACCCATTAAGTATTTGTCGACAAAAGTGAATGGAGACAGTTTGTGTGCTGATCCACAGGATCCAGTCAAATGGGCAATCCTTTTTTAAAACATTATTTTTATTAATTTTTACAATAACAAAGCATCACATTAAAAAGAAAAACCATACATCAAAGCCTTAAATAATTATATATAAAATCCACATTTACTCCATAACCTGGGACTACAAGTCCCCTGTCTCCCCCCCCATGGTTCCCTTGTTTTCTGTTATTCATACATGACCATCCATTATTTACCTCCTTTTACATTCCAATTTTGTACTTGGTAACCCTTGAACATGTTAAAGCCATGTGTGGATTTAATACACACGACTCTCAAGATTGGTTTTCTTGTGCTAACCTGGAATCAAAATGCAAGGTTGCATAATTCATAAACACTGGATAGAGAAACCCCAAATGCACACAAGAAAACACAGAAATCTGCCTTATACCAAGTCAGACTATTGGTCCATCTACCTTAGTATTGTCAACACTGACCGACAGCAGCTCTTCAGGGTTTCAGGCCAAGGAACGTTCTTTGTCTTTCTTGAAGATGCTGTGCATTGAACCTTGGACCTTCTGCTTGCAAAGCAGAGCTACAGAAACCCTCTTTCTAAAGTGTGGTTTTTTTAATTTAAAAAAAATAATAGATGAAGTTTTGAGAAAATAAATGTGCAATGTGTTTTGCAACACACATCATTCAGATTCATGCTCTCAACTTCATGGGGTTAAGGTTAGAGGATGCTGAATGGATCTTCTGTGCTCAAGAAGCTACCTAATGGGCCCACGGCTGAGCTGGGAGGTACAGATCCAGGCTTCATAGGCTCAGACACCACAGTGGCTCTCAAACAGTCTTTGCTCAGGGGCAGAGAATCTGGTCTGCATGCTGGAGGGTCCAGGTACAATCCCCAGCATCTCCAGGTAGGGCTGAGAGAGAACCCAGTGTGAAATCCTAGAGAGCTGCTGTCAGTCAAAGGGGACTGAGTCAGGTGGACCAATGGTCTGACTCTGTGTAAAGGAACTTCCTATGCTCAAGTCCTCCAGCCGTCTCCAATGTAGTTTACAGTGCTCCATCCGTGGCATTTTGTTTTGAATGCTGTGCTAACCCTAAATTATTAAATTGTCCACCCCCATCGCTAATTTTATATACACAGATTATAAAGTATGGCGGCGCATGCGCACCCATCAAGATATGATTTGCACCCTTTTCTAAATTAATCCAATTATTCAAATGTCAGTTAAAACTGTCAGAAAGCCAGTCCTTGGGCTGGACCAAAACTGTTAAAAATTAAAACTGTTTTACTTCGTTTAGTCTCTCTGCCTTCTTAATGTAAAACCCATAGTCTTGACAAAAAGATGTGGGATTTGACACCCAGTGCAACACAACCCTGCTTCTGTCATACATGCATAATTCACTTTGGAAATGTGTGCTCGCTTTTAAAATATTACTAAAATATACATGTAACATATGCTAATCTGGCCTCTTTGGCCCGCCGGCGAGAGCCAATAGGTTAGATGTAAACTTTGCCAAGTGCATATACTGTACATAAAGGGATTATAAATGAAAGGGAAGAGAGCGCTTGTCCCTAGCTCTCTGTCTTCAGCTCCGGCCAAACTGACAGCCCCAAATCCCTGCAACATCTAACATGCCCTTCCTGTGGCGAAGACAGCCTGTTCTCTGAGTCTTAATTACATCCCAGCTGACTGCCCAGCCTTGCCAGAACCGCGCAACAAACGACGTACCTTCGCTGGCAATATGGTCTGCTAAAGAGGCTCCCAGTCACACAGAAATAAAACTTTCAACAATGAGGAGGAAGAAGGGGACACACCAGAGAGGGAGGGGAGAGAGAGGAGAGGGCAGGCAGCTATCAAGAGGATGTGAGAGGAAAGAAGAAGGGGGTTGTTGTTTTTTTTGGGGGGGAGAGAAGCTTTTTCCCAGAATCCTCCAGGACTGGCAAGTGGCAGAATGCGAGTCAAGAAGGCAATCCCTCGCTCGCTACAGAGGCCTCTTGCGCCAAGGACTGCTGTTCTTCAAGATGGGCCGCTGTTACGAAGACTCGGCAGATTAATGATTGTTAAGGAAGGCTAACCAACCCCACACTGCTTAGGCCATTATAATTACAGGAGAACAGCAGGCCACATTCTGCAATGGCAAATGGTATCATATGTTTCCCTGGCTGGTTTGCAAAAGAAGCTTCCTTTATGCAGGCACTTCAAGGTTTAAAGCTTTCCCTTCTCTTTTAAAGGAGAGGGAGACCTTAAAAAGAAGAATATAATGAAAGGATTAGAGCAACACTTTATTCTTTCAAAAAACTGCTTTCAGGCCAAGGTTTAATATTTGGAAGTTTTCTCGACAACTATTTAACCTCAACAATGGCTGTGCTCCTAAATGTATTTAAGAGGCAGGACAACACACTTCCTCCCAATTCTAGCCTTATTATGAAAGTGTTACATGAAAGGCATTGGGTAGTAGCCAATGCTCCTCCTACTCAGAGTAGACTCATTGAAGTTAATGGACATTAATAACCTATTAATTCTACTCCATGTAGACCTTTGTTTGATACAGTCCATTGATATCTTTTAAATGTTGCACTATTTGTGGATCTGTGAAACAAAGTGTCTTTAAACAAATAAAAATATAGCTCTGAACGTCAAAGAGGGTTACTTGTTACTAAATTCACAGAGCCGGTAGCACTACAGAGATGTTTAATTTCTTGTATTGCATCTTTGTAAACTGGTTAGAGACTACTGTAGTTAAGCGGTCTATAAATTGTGTAAATAGATAGAATAATCTCTCTCCATGTGCACTTCATGTCCTCCTCAGATCTGGTCCAGGTGGTTGAAGGAAACCCCAGAACAGATTTATTGAGGGGGGCGGGATCCATTGTGCAAGCAGAAATTCTTGCACAAATGGAACAAGCACTACTTTGGACACATGAAATTTCTGAATGGTTTAACAAATAATTCTTCTTCAAGGGGAACTCTCAGAATTGTAGCTCTGTAAGGGGAAGAGTGGTCTCCTAACAACTCTCAGCACCCTTTACAAACTACAACTGGGATGGCTCAGTTGGTTGAGCATGAGAGTCTTAATCTGAGGGTCATGGGTTTGAGCCCCACATTGGGCAAAAGATTCCTGCCTTGCAGGGGGTTGGACTAGATGACCCTCATGGTCCCTTCCAACTCTAGAATTCTATGAATCTACAGCTCCCAGAAGTCTTAGGGGGAGGCCATTGCTGCTGCCCCTTCTTCTTCTTCTTCTTCTTCTTCTTCTTCTTCTTCTTCTTCTTCTTCTAGTTTTAAATCTTATCTTTATGTTTTTGTACCATTTTAAAAACTAACTTCTACCTGTTTATAGTACTTTAGTAAATCACATTGAGATGCATGTGAAAGGCTATTCATAAGTTAATCAACCCAATATATAAATAGCCCACTGAAAATTTGTGCTGTTAATGGAAGTTGGGACTCAAGCTCCAGCCAGAGTTTCATGAGGCTCCTCAAAAGATGAAAAGACAATAGCATAAGGTGGGACCAGTTTATCTGCTCAGGAATGAGTACATATCTTTTCTGCAGGAGGGGGGTTTTAAAATGTCAGTTGTTCTACTGTTTGCCTTCTCTGGAGAACTCCAGGTTTCTTGGACTTGGGGATGGCGGAATCAAATACAGGAAGCTAATTCTGTATTTAGTTCGGATGTGTTATTGTTGGAGCCAACACACAGGAAAGTGAACTATTTCCCCTGTGGATTTTGGCAGGATATTGTTCCCGCATTGCGTTGGCAAGGAAATGTTTCCTCCTGGGCTGGACATCAGATGTGGCACCCCTAGTGGAGTTGCTGCTTGGCTTTTACGTGCCTAGCGAGGAAGTGAGGAATTGGAAGGAGGAAAAATGTGAGTAGTGTGGCAGAAGGACACCAGTCCCTGCCTGTGGATTGTCTGCAGTGAGAGGGCCTTCAGGTGCTTTCATTGTCTTCTAGAATCTCGGAGCGCCTGTTATGCAAGACAAAAACAGCATTTGCTCCGAGACATGACTATTGGACATAGACAAATGTGACACACCGCAAATGGTTTGGGTCTGATAAATAGCACTTTCGCTTTGGAATTTTAATTTTTAAAATACCAGAACATAGGGACACGGGAAGCAGTCTTATACTGAGTTAGACCATTGGTCCAGCTTTCTCAGTACTGCCTGCACTAGCAGTGGCTTTCCAGGGTTTCGGATGGACCCCCCCCCAACCCTATCTAGAGATGTTGCAGGACTGAACCTGGGAGCTTCTGCTTGCAAAACAGATGCGGGCTTTCCCAATTACTTCCTTGTCATTGGCTGCAATGGACAGGGAGATGGTCCAAGAAAAAAGAGAAAAAGGTGTTTATTCCACACACAGCCTAGTTAACCAAAGGAGCTCAATGCTGTTGGAAGCACCATCTGGGGAGTCACCCAGGACTGTAGATTAAAATATGCTGCTGTCCTAAGCAGAAAAATAAAGATGGGGAACCAGTGGACCTATAAATGTTGTTGGACTCCAACTCCCATAAGCCCCGGCCAGCACATACAATAGTCAGGGATGATGGGAGCTGCAGTCCAACAGCACCCCAAGGGCCACAAGTTCTCCATTCCTGCAATGAAGGGTTTCTAGGTACTGGAGTGATTCTGCTCACCCACGCTGGCCACGGGGTAGTCACTGCTATTGAGGGTGGTAGTTTGCTTGGGCAAATCTGGCCTTCCTTGGTGTGTTTTGACTTCCTGACTTGATCCTTAGCCCTCTGGAGCTTAGCTTACATTTTCAATTTTTTTTTTTAAAAAAAAGTAGAGATGTGACCAGAGAGCATAATTCCATTAAAGTGAATGCCAGTTTATCAAGAAAGTGCACCAAAGCTTCTTGTGATGGGAGTTACCACTGTGACTGGTAGAGCAGATATCAGAGGGGAGAAAAGTAGGATTTGCCAGCACAAGTGGCTAGTGGAGGTAGAACCAATGATAGGAAGAAACCTAATTCTGGTTTTGTCCCCATCTTCCTCCCTGCTGAATTCTAGAAGGGCAACACTAAGAGGACTAAAAAGGAGGAGGCTGGTTGTATGTAAGAAGGTAGGTAGATGGGGACTGGCTGAGGACAGACAGAGTTGGTGGGGCAGTGTCACACATGCCCAAATAAACCAGCCTCAACAACATCTGAAGGGCCACAGGATCCCTGTCCCTGGTTCAGAAGTCATAGTAGTAGCAACAACTCTATTCATCCTCCATGAAGGAAATATATCATGCTCTTACTGTATATTTGGAGTGAGGGGGGGAGGGAGAGAAATATTCCATCACGGGTCTAATCATGCACAGAAGTACAATCTCAAAAGAAGCGTGAGATGGATGCTGTGTTCAACAGGCACTCATAAATCAAACTGAAGAATGTTAATACCTGTTGCAATTTCCCCCAATTTATTATAGGAAATAACAAACATAGGAAGTGATTAGAATGAAGGTGGTGGGTAGGTGGGAGGGAGGGAAGAGATGAGTTCAGGTGGTGCAGCGTTAGTTCAACATCCAGGATCAAATGTCAGCGCACATTAACAAATTTCCATTCATTTTTATCCACAGCAACGGAGACACGCCGCAATCGGCTTTAATAGTTTGGAATGTCAGTCAGTTAAATGACTTTGTAAAGGCACTCGAGTGCAGGCAGACAGCGACAGTTTAATTAGGCAGTTTTGCTATAATTCTATCTGGGAGCTGAAGGCAGCAGACTAGGAACAAGTGTAAAACTCTGCTCAGTCCCAAGTAAGAAAAGCGGGGAAAGGGAGAGAGAAGATACTTTTGATGGCAGGTCCTTTCATTTACTCTGGCGTCAGGTTGGCTACAGGTGAACGGGAGCAATGTAACCGCTACAAGAAGAAGAAAGGTGAGGTTAAGAGACCAATCACTTGTCTTATATTGATTTCGGGACACTATGTCCCAGATATTTTTCCAAGATAGAATGACAGCTCTCGAGCCAGGCTTCATGCTGGGAAGAGATGAAATTGACGAGGGCAGTGGGGACCAGCACTCAGCAGAGGTTGGTCCATTAGGGCCCCCACCAACCTCAGTCAGCCCCCACCTGCCTGCCTGCCTTCCTATTTATGACCAGTTCAGGGGTTGGCACTGCCTCCTCCTCCCCTTAAGTGTCAGTGTTGCCCTTGTAGAAAACAGCAGGGCAGATGGGCACAGGCTAGAATTGTTCCTTTCCCAGAGCTACAATTCCCAGAGTGGTTTTGACAGGGAACTCTGGGAATTGTGGCTCTGGGAGGGGAATAGGGGATCTGCTAACAATTCTCAATACCCTTAAGAACCTACAGTTCCCAGGGTTCTTAGGGGGAAGCCAAGACGGTCTAAAGTGATATCATAGTGCTTTAAAGGCATGGTGTGGATGTGGCCTAGCTGGTTCTACCTATCACTGGGTCTGGCTCCACATACTGTTTGGTCTCCCTGCTTTCTGCTCTATCCATCCCAATGGGCACCAGACACCATTCACTGAATTTGTATTATTACACTTCATTTAATAAATATATTACACTTGGGTTTAAATGGGGGGAAACATAGATGTGGAAGAAGCTAAAAATATTTACCATGCTAGGAAAAAACGTGAAGGGTTGGAAGCAGCACTTAATCAGCCTATTTGTTGTCACTGCCACAAATCCTGTGAGTTAAGAGGTCAGAATCAAGTGCAATTGGTCCTTAAAAAAATATATCTCAGGTAACCCCACATCTCTGGTAATTGAACCCATTCTGCCCAGTCAGAGGTCCTGTCAACTCATATTCAGTGTCGGTCATTACTGAGAAATGTTTCATGACATGTTACACTGAGAGGAGCATTGCAGCACGACTCAAAAGATTCCCCTGGCACCAGAGGTAGAAGACAATGGAAGCTCTTTTCAAATTGGCGATGTTTAACTTCTCTCTTTTCAACTTGCTGGTGCGCTGATTAGCCGCCAAAGTATTTAGAACCTCATAAATGGCAGAGGGTTTTTTTTAAAAAAAAAATAATAGGAAAGCTCTAAAGGCACCAGCAGACAAACCACTCTAGTTTTACATATCTAACATAAAAGAACCTATTCTCTAGGACTTTCATCCTAGCTTTTTAATGGATGATTTGGGGCATCCAACCAAATGAAAGACAAGCAACCATTTAAAATAATGTAAAGCTTTGTTACAAAGAGTTTAAACCCTCATATACCTTTCAAACAAAATTCTAGTGGGATAAATACATGGCTAAACAAGATATGAGACAAAGCGCATCACTATTAACGTCACCCATTTTTTGGCACAGGTTTAGCCACCTCTTAGGATATTGCCACAAACTCAGCATGAAGGGTTTTTTTGATGTAGAGGTGGGAACTCTTCGTTGACGTTTTGATACCAGACACGATTTTGAATCAAGATGGCAGACTGGCTTTTGCGTGGCTGGAATGTAGCACACTGTGCAGAGCCAAGAGTGACACCCCTTGTCTGTCTATTTTGCCTCTGGCCCTACCAACCAATGGCCCCTGAAAGGTTTCCACATGAAGAAATGTGGCCCTTTGACTGGAAAAGGCTCCTCTTCCATAGAGTAGGAAAAACTGCAGTTTGATGGACAAAAATAATCTGCATCTACCAGTATTTCCACCCTTAGCTCATCTTCCACAAAGCATCTCCCGATCAAAGCTAGAGAAATCTCAACAAGCACTACCACCACAGCCCAAGGATCGTAATTAATGGTATTCAGGCCTTACAGCCTAGCAGGGGGGGAAATGTGTTGTAACAATTTTTCTAATGCTGAAATACCACACCGCCAAATGTTCCTGTCAAAGAGCGGTTTAATTACTTTGGCACCCACGCCACTTATAATCACCTGTCATTAGCAACAACGCTTGCATCTGTTTACACGTCTGTCAGAATCGGCAGCCCAGCTGAAGCCGACGGATGCAAGACATCGCTTGCTAGGACATGGCCCCAGATGGGCAAAGGTCAGCTTAAGGTTATCCATCCAACCCTCCACCCCCACTTGGCCCCGAGTGGGATGTGAAGAACTTCTGAGAGGTATAGAAGCATACAAGGAGACACTGAAGCTGACTTCCTCTTAATAGAAGCGCAGGGGCTTGTATTCAAGCTTAACACCCCTGCAACTGTTTTAATACCGAGATGAATGACTTTAAAGAGCACTGTCTGCTTGGGAGATATGGGGCTCAAGCGTTCCTTAACATTATGTAGGGCTGAAATGTGTGGGCAGAGGAATTATTCAGCCTCACAGTCATTTGGGAGCAGCCCTGGAAGGAAGAGAAATCACGTGGATATGAGCCTGAAGAACCTCACTTACAAGAAACTACTACCAATGTGAAAACTGCAGTGGTAGAGCCCCACAAGCTGGCTGTATCACCTCAGTTAATGAACATCTTTAACTATAACATACCACCTAATATTTTAGGGAGATTTATGCTTAGGGCATTCAATCAAGCAGATGAAAGGGGGCCAACCCCAGGGCAATGTGGGAACCTGCTACTACAACAATCCCTCAAAGGTTTTAAAGAGCTTTAAACAATTTTATTGTTTTATTCTCTCTGTAAACCTCTTTGAGGTTTGTTTGTTTTTAACAACAAAATAGTGTATAAATTTTATGAAATACATAAATATATAACCTCTGACAAAGGAGAGTCCACCTCTTTCTGAGGCGGCCTGTTCCACCATCAAAGGGTTCTCCCTAATATTTAGTTAAAATCCCCTTTCTTGCCATTTGAACCCACAGGTTAACGTACTGGTGCTGTTATATGGCCTTCTACACAATCATCTCAAGGTGGTGTACAACAAAAACAGCAAAAGAGCAGTTAAAAACACAAAAAAGAGCAGATACGTTTAAAAGAAAACTAAAACCATTCAAGAGAGACACCCTGTTATAGACCCATTCATCCAGCTCGGAAAGCCTATTGGAATAAAAATGTCTTCAAATGTTTCCAGAAAGTGCAGGTTGTGGAGACCTGTCGTATCTTGGCAGGAATTGCTGGTCCACAGAACAGGGACAGTCACACTAAAAGCCCTGCTACGAGTTATGAGATCTTTGGAACTTGCAGGAGAACTGGTCCACAGGGATCTACTGGGTACATAAGGGATAAGGGATCTTGCTCTATTATCTATGTGACAGCCCCTCAGATATTTGAAGGTGGCTACCACATTGACTCTTAATATCTCCAGGTTAAACTCACTTAACTCCTTCAACCTATTTCAACATAAGAAGAGCCCTGCTGGACCCACTGAATTCAGCACTGTTCTCATTGTGTGGTGAACCAGATGCTCATGGGAAGCCTTGCAAGCAGAACCTGGGCATTACAGCACTTTCCCCACGTGCAGTTCCCAGCAACTGGGACTCAGAAGCTTATTGCCTGACAGTGGAGGAAGAATGTAGCCATCGTGGCTAGAGGCCACTGACAGCCTTACTCCCCATGAATATGCCTAATCCTCTTTGGAAGCCATCTAAGTTGGTGGACATTGCCACATATTTTGGGACCAAACGCCATAGTTTAATTATGTGCTGTGTGAAGAAGTAATTTCCATTGCCTCTCCTCACAGGACTTGGTATCCAAGCCTCTTATCATTTTCAATACAACTTTTACCTCCACAGTTTGCTTCGTGATATGCTCACGGAGATACATCTCTGGTTTTCATTTGGTGGAATTATGTGTCATTATCAAGGGCCAAGATGTCTCACCCTAACAGTCTGCCTAAGCTCCCTGCTACTTGCTTCAAATTTGTCCACAGTTGTGGCTGTTCTCGGAGTTAAGGATAACTCATCTTCTTAATCGGTTGCAATACATCCTCAAAGCCAGCTCTTTTATTTGCTTAAATTAAGTGCTCACTGGGAATCCCTTAATGATGGGCCTAGGCTTTCAAGGAATGGAAATACCAGCGTGCTTACATTACATCTTGCATTATAGAAACGTCTGCAATTGTTAAAAGAAACATGTGGCAACATTTGATGCTAAATTTGAAATGCATTTTCTGCCCCTGTTACTCACCTGAAACGGAGCCAAGATATCTCTTTGCTTTGCATTATAGTGAAATCCAAACTGGTCTGAATGACTATAAATGGTTAGTGTTTGTCTTGGCTCCTACCTGTATCAGATTCAGACTAAGGAATCTTAGCAAAGAAATTACACGGGATAAAATGGATATTTCTAAATTACAACCCAGCAATTCCAGGGCCCTGGTATATCGGTTTTCTGTTTCATCTAATCCTGCTGGAGAGAAAATTGTGTGGATCTGACAACAAAGGATCGAAAAGCATTTGCTTTCATGGGCCAAACGCTCCTTGTTTTGATTATATTGGAGATTTTAAAACAAAATAAAGATCAAGATCAGTTACAGCTTACTAACGAATCAAACGGTTGTAGGTTTGAAACAGTGGGAAACTTAGAAAAAGTTTAAAATTAGGCATCGTGGCACTCTCTCAAGGCCAAACTATAAATTGTAAGGAACAAGGGGCTGCCAGTGAACACACAGTCCTTTGTCAAATTACCCGCTTCAAAACGTATTGTGCAATTTACACTTTGTGTTCCAAATACACATTACCTTGTTCTATTTATTTATTAATACTCATTATCACTGAGTGTTTGGCCACCCATTAGTGGCAGCCAGTGGGGTGGGGCACAGCGTTAACCATCATTTCTTTGTCTTTATTCACAGGGAAATGGACAATGTCAGCATCAAAACCCTGGGGACAGACTATCCTCCAGGAGTTGAGTCTAGGGATTCATAGCTGGAGTGGGAATTGCCCCCCAGGGCCAACCCCAGAATTACTTTTGCATGAAGAGCTTGTGATGCCAGTGCCCCTCCGGGCCTTAGGATATCACCATGTTCTCTTCCAGATGAGAGGGTCCCA